CTTCTGTTAAGGCTTTTTGCTATTAGAAAATTAAATCTAATTTTATTATGGAATAATCTTGATTCAGCTGCATCTCTTTCTATTCCAATATATCCTACATGCTGAGGCAACTGACTCTTCACTGAAACTAACATGGCCTCCTGTTGGGCCCCTGAGCCAAAGGGTGAAATTTGAACTCTTGGCCAACCTGCAGTTCCCTCCAGACGGGCCTCCAGGTGGCTTTTCCAACCTGTGTTGGCAAAGAAAAGAAAGATGAAACCTCTGCTGGGATACATGGTGATGTGTGGGGTGGGGGAAGGGTACTGAACTTCACATTGAAATGTCTTTTTTTTTTTTTTTTTAAAGATTTTATTTATTTATTTGACAGAGAGAGAGAGAGAGCGCGAGAGAGGGAACACAAGCAGGGGGAGTGGGAGAGGGAGAAGCAGGCTTCCCGCGGAGCAGGGAGCCCGATGTGGGGCTCGACCCCAGGACCCTGGGATCATGACCTGAGCCGAAGGCAGACGCTTAACCGACTGAGCCACCCAGGCGCCCCTCACATTGAAATGTCTTAAAAAAAAAAAAAGAAACAAAAACAAAACTAGAGGACATCCAAAGGAGCTCTCTTGCACTGTTGGTGGGAATGTAAGCCGGTGCAGCCACTGTGGAAAACAGTATCGATGTTCCTCAAAAAGTTAAAAATAGAACTACCATATGATTTAGCAATGACACTACTGGGTATTGAGCCAAAGAATACAGAAACACTAATACAGAGGGGTATATGCACCCCTAGGTTATTTACATTATTTACAATAGCCAACTTATGGCAGCAGCCCAAGTGTCCCCTCGACTGATGAATGGATAAGGAAGATGTGGTATATACATACAATGGAATATTACTCAGCCATAAAGAGTGAACTCTTACCATTTGCAATAACATGGCTGGATCTCTAGAGAGTGTAATGCTAAGTGAAATAAGTCAGTCAGAGAAAGACAAATACCAAATGATTTCACAAAACAAGCAAAGGGGAATAAAGAGAGAGGCAAACTAAGAAACAGACTCTTAACAGAGACAGAGAACAAACTGATGGTTCCCAGAGGGGAGGTGGGCGGGAAGATGGGGGAAATAGGTGATGGGGATTAAGGGGTGCAGTTGTCATGAGCACTGGGTGTTGTATGGAAGTGTTGAATCACTATCATACACCTGAAACTAATATTACAGTGTCTGTTAACTGGAATTAAAAACTTAAAAAAAAAATATCCAGAGATACATTTTCTGTTTACTTTTTATTTTAAATGACTTTCTGGAGTCATTTATTCTTAATTCTTTTGCTTAGTAATGTGTTCCTACCCTCTGGTTCTTGCTCACACCTTTCTGGCCTGGAGAGCCCCCCTCTGCCTCCACTGCCCCCCCCCCCAATCCTTCCCATCTTCTAAGACTGAAATCAGCCTCCTTTCCCTTTTCTTCACATCCCGGTTTCCTGCCATGTACCTGGTTCAGCATTCCATCGCCCCTGCTTTTACTCCCTTCTCGCCTTCTTTCCATTGGGACTGCTGTTGATTGGCTAACATTCAGAAGCACTGGAGTAAGGCGTTTATTGATTGGTGAACTCTATTACCATTGGGGTGAGGCGGTTGTTGATTGGTGGACTCCTTTGGGGTGAGATGGTTGTTGATTGGCTAGCCCTTTGAAGCACTGGGGCAAAGCACCTGTTGATTGGCTGACTTCCCTGGAGTGAGGCAGTTATTGATTGGCTGGCCTCGTGAAGTTTTTATATTGCTGGGAAGTTGTCATAAGTCAATTAGAATAGGTTTGAAATCCATTGCTATCATTTTCTAGGTGCGAGGGAACTTTTAATTTTCATCCTAGATTTCCTGGGTTGGAATAAGCCCATCAAAATGCAGATCACACATTAGACCCTCACCCAGCCACCTACCCCAGAAGGGAGCACATGAGCACAGATTTGGGAGTCAACAGACCTGGGCTCAGATCCCAGTTCTGTTATTCAGCACATCACTTAAATCTCTGTGATCCTCAGTCTCCTAAAACATAACACCTCCCTGAAAGGTGGGTGTTGTGGAGATTAAATGAGTTGACCTGTGTCAGGTACTCATCACACCCTCAAAATTCTCATGATCTTCCACGGGTCTAACAACCCAAGGAAAGCATCCTGTGGTGGCATTTTGTGACTCAGTTCCCTCTTACTTGGTTTTTCCCTTCTAAGGACTGTCAGAAAGATGAACTGTAAAAACCTGATGCTCAGACCTCACTCCTCAAGATTCTGATCTAATTGGTCTGTGGTAGAGCCCAGACACCATATGTGTTTAAGCTACCAGTGATGTCAGCATACACTGAAGCATACCCTGCCTGGCTAGCTCCTTACTTAACTGCTGTTCATGCAGTTAAATCATGCAGGAAAGTAATAAATTGCTCTGATTGGCCTTACGTGATGGGCTGATCTTGTTAAAAACTCTCTTGAAAACTGTGTAATTAAGAAACTAGCCTGGTATTCAAATGGGATATTCTCTGAGCCCCAATCCTATTACTGCTCTCATTATTATTAAAAAAAAAAAAGAAAGAAAGAAAGAAAAACTGCCTTTATGACTTTGAAAAGTTTAACCCTGACAGAAAGGTCAGAAGAGAGAGAGATACATAGTATGGACTGGAGATTTCCCAAAAAGTATGTAACAAAATGGTCTACAGTTTGGAAATAAGTGTTGTGTAAACTCTGTTCTCTTGGATGTTGCATACATTATGCATAAGGATTATTAAATATTTCCTCCTTCCTGAAAGGTTTGTTATCTCTAAATTTGGAAGTTAATTCAAGAAACAGGAGAACATGTATTATTTATAAGTCTCTTTAGCATCTAGTAGAAAGTGTCATGTTATTTAAAAATGGTATTCATGCTTCCATGGCGTCAGTGCACATTGGTTCCCTCTATAATCCTAAAGTCATCCCTAGAAAGTAATGAGAAATTGTCTCTGTCAGAGGGGAGGAGGGTTTTAATCAAGAGTCTTTCCATTATCCCTTCCTTCCAAGTTTTAAGGAAGCCTAGTCAGTTGAAGGACTGAATATCGAATTTTTCTGCTGGAAAAAGTACTGGGCCATCTTGTACCTAAAAAATAAGGAGCTGCTGACATACTTGATAACTATATTCATTTTAGTCATTCAGCTATGCCTTTGCTATATATTACTTCCAGAACTGACTTAACTAGATGTATAATATACTATATTTATTTCTTGTTTTAATAAACTTTATATTTTGGGATGATCTTATATATGGTTCACTCTTGGTGTTGCATATTTTATGGGTCTCGACAAATGTATAATGATGTGTATCCACTATTAAAGTATCATACAGAGCAGTTTCACAACTTTAAAAATCTTATGCTCCACCTGTTCATCCCGCCCTCCTCCATCACCCCTGGCAACCACTGATCTTCTTACTGTCTCCATTGCTTTGGTTTTTCCAGAATGTCATAGAGTTGGCATTGTTAAAGAGAAAAATATTCATGACACTTTTTAAAGAAGGGTAAGGCAGACTTTACTGAGAGGCATTACTACAAGGGAGTTGCCTTTGGGCTCAATTCTAAATACAAGAAGGAAAAATAGGAGTTCATTATCAGGGAGTAAGGTAGGCCATAGATGAATAGATGGTTACTGAGAGGAAACATCAGGGGTAAAGGAGGGATTCTGACTAAACTGACCTGACAGGATTCTTCCTGAAGGCAGGCCAGGCAATGAGGCATCCCCTGGGTAAGAGTGGAGGATTCTGGCTCAACCAGCTTAGCAGGATTCTTGGTAAAATTGGGACACGAAGAGACAAACATGGAAGCATAGATGTTGAGACTTAGTCTGGGAAGAGGATTCAGAGGAGTCTGACTAAAGTTTCATCAAGGAGAGGGTCTTCATGAGAGTGAGACAGTGGGTGGCATTTACAGAGTTGCTTCTTTACTTAGCAATGCCTTTTCATGGCTTGATAACTCATTTCTTTTTATCACTGAGTAATATTCCACTACCTGGCTGTACCACAATTTATTCATTCACCTCCTGAAAGACATCTTGATCACTTCCAAATTTTGCCAATTATGAGTGAAGCTGCTATAAACACCCATGTGCAGGTTTCAAGAGTAATTTTATTTTATTTTGTTAAAGATTTTATTTATTTGAGAGAGAGAAAGAGAATATGAGTGAGGGGAGGGGCAAAAGCAGAGGGAGAAGCAGGCCCCCCACTGAGCAGAGAGCCAGGCCCGCCACTGAGCAGAGAGCCCGATGCAGGGCTCGATCCAAGGACCCTGGGATCATGACTTGAGCCGAAGGCAGACGCTTAACCGACTGAGCCACCCAGGTGCCCCTCAAGAGTAATTTTACATGTATAGAAAAGTTGCAAAGATAGTACAGAGCATTCCCCATATACCTCTTCCTCCATTTACCATCTAGTGTAAATGTCTCCCACAGCTATGGTACATTTGTCAAAACTAAGGGATGAACATGTATGTGTTACTATTAACTAGATCTTACTCAGATTTCACCATTGTTTCCACTAATTTCCTTTTTCTGTTTCAGGAGCCCACCCAGGATACCACATTTATTTTAGTTTTAATTTATAAGGGCAATTTGGATGTGTGTGTACATTAAATGCCTTCATAAAATTCAGCATATCTTGAGACAGTGGATGTGAACATAGCAGCTCCAAGGAGCTGCTGTTACTTAATCAAGTGAACACATTTAATTATGACATTGTTACTTAGAATTTTTGGAAAGTTTGTTTTCGGTTTTGGCACAGCAGGCAGATTTCCCAGTGTACAAAATGAGGATTTGTTTTATTAGGTTGCCGTTTCTAAACAAAATACTGAGGCTTGTTGAAAGAAGGTCATCTTAAGGTTATTTCAAGACCCAGGAGGAAACCGGTTGCCAAGTTTTAATAAAAGCTGTCAGTGCATAATTTTTCAAGTTGATATGCAGGATGAAGTGTTTGGTTGGTTCTCTAATGAGCATCTCCAAATGTTTTGCTGGCAGAAGGACTCCATGAAAGATGACAGAGGAAGTTATTGTGATAGCAAAGTGGGACTACACTGCCCAACAGGACCAGGAGCTGGACATCAAGAAAAACGAGCGCCTATGGCTGCTGGACGACTCCAAGACGTGGTGGCGGGTGAGGAATGCGGCCAACCGGACGGGCTACGTGCCATCCAACTACGTGGAGAGGAAGAACAGCCTGAAGAAGGGCTCCCTCGTGAAGAACCTGAAGGACACGCTAGGTGAGTGTGCCCACTCGGTAGGACCCGGATTAGAGCTGAACTACTTCCTGTAAGGGAAGGCGAAGAAGCCTTGCGTTTTTGGAGGGGAGAGCATTCATCTTTTTAGTTTGTGTGTGTTTAAAAAGGTCTGTTTTAAAGTTGACATCTTTCTAGTTGTCTTTTTTTTAAATCTCTGAAAATGAAGCAATCACAGTGGAGAAATACCATGTTTGTCATTTCCTGGAGATGTTAGAGTCTGGAGTCTTCTGGAAGTTGACACTTCTGCGTTGGGGACCCCTGCACGTGTCTCTGTCTCCTGACATCAGTATTCTGAGGGTTCCTGACGTGCAGTTACCACCTCCAGAAATGTCAGCCGCTCTGCCCGTGTCAACCCATCAGGTCTTGTGTCTCACACAACCCTCTCCATGTGGCCTTCATGCATACAGTGGGAAGGAGCAAAGAGCACTTTGAACCGCGTGGATTTTTTCCCCCCTCTCCTCGACTGATGATGCCCATACTGCAGTCCTGGCCCGTGTTAGCTCAGGTGGCCGTGGGCGTGCACCAGTGTGGTGCCAGAGGCTGGCATCGGTCACTCGGGTGCGGAGTGTTGGGAGCTCAACCCAGCTGGTTCGTCATCCGGTTGTCTTCCACGTGCCCTGTATCCCGATGTGACCCAGGCCACCTTGAATCACCTAAAGTTACTGGTGTCCGCTCTTGTCTTAGTGTGCATATCCAATGTATTTACAGTAGTGACTGCTTCAGATGATGTGGGGAAGTAACTGTGAGGGCCTCGCCAAAGAACCATGAGCCGAGCTTGCCATTTGCATAAGTTGGTGTTACCTCCTTATGAGTCTGATGTGGGTCATACCTGAGACTGCTGGTTATCATTTAAGAGTTTGGTATGAAAGAAGTCAAATTATCCCCTGTGTTACATTTACTTGACTTTTCCCTTTCTATTTTTAACAGGAGGATTTGTTTCATGTGGGGTGGGAAGGGAGCAAGTGGGAAAACAAAAGAAAATGATACACCGAATGCAGCGGGTGTTGCAAAATATTCGTTTTAAATTTATGCAATCTTGAAGAGTCTACTAGTAAAGTCTCTCTTCAGATCCACTTAAAGACTTCATTTATTGGGTAGTGTTTTTGTGTTAGGGCTTAGGTTATTTCTGTGATGTGGAAAGAGAAATGAGACACAGGCCTGAGTATGAATCACGCCAGTTATCACAGATTCTGAGGCTGATGTAGAAATTTCATTTTGCATGAAAAGTCTGATTCTTTTTTCCACTAACCTGATACCCCTGTAATTTTTTTTTTCCCAAGTCACTTTGAAAGAAACATTGTTGTCCTTTAGCTATAACTCTTAATTAACTTGGGCAGAAATGCAGTTAGCATGAACAGATAAATACCTGAGCTTAATTTTATTTATTTTTTCCAATTTCAGCCTCTCGCCCACCAAAGTACCTTCTTTGGGAGCTGCTGAACATCCTTGACTTGTTTTGTTTTCTTTCTTACCCATTTTTTAATACTGGGAAATTGAATGAGATGATCAGAAGGGAAATAAAACAAGCACTCCAAACTATCTAGAAATTCCTTGGAATACCTTGTCATTTTTTTTTCCTTCACTTGGTAGAAGGAGAAAAGACAAAGCCTCAAATTGAAACCATTAACCAGATGTCTCACTCTGTGTCTACTTTTTCTCGAGTTGTGATCTGCTTGGCGTGCTGGGAAACTGTGGCCCTCTTGTCATAGAGGAGAGCCTCACTCCACCAGCCGCTCCCCATGCTGCATGCTGGGTGCTGCGTGCTGGGGGTACTGTGGGCTCTCAGCATAGAGGAACCTCACTCCACCAGCCATTCCCAGTGCTGGGTGCTGAGTGCTGGGTGCTGGGGAACTGTGGGCCTCTCATCATAGAGGAGCCTCAGTCCACCAGCTGCTCCTGGTGCTGGGTGCTGGGGGTACTTTGGCTCTCAGCATTAGAGGAACCTCACTCCACCAGCCCCTCCCAGTGCTGGGTGCTGGGTGCTGGGGGTACTGTGGGCTCTCAACATTAGAGGAACCTTACTCCTCCACCAGCCCCTCCCAGTGCTGGGTGCTGGGGGTACTGTGGCTCTCAGCATTAGAGGAACCTCACTCCACCAGCCCCTCCCAGCGCTGGGTGCTGGGGATACTGTGGTTCTGAGCATTAGAGGAACCTCACTCCACCAGCCCCTCCCAGTGCTAGGTGCTGGGTGCTGGGGGTACTGTGGCTCTCAGCATTAGAGGAACCTCACTCCACCAGCCCCTCACAGTGCTAGGTGCTGGGTGCTGGGCCACTGCCCCGCCCCTGACAGATGGCCACCCAGCTCTGCCAGAATACTTCTACCTCGACAGTCAGCCAGTTCCATTTTTGGAGAACACAGATTGCTCGAAAGCTCTCCCTTAAATAGAATCAAAGTTTGCTTTTCTTTAACTTTTTCCCCTTGGCTCTCGAGAGCTGCCTGAGTTAATGTGTGCGCCTCTCTTGGAAGATGACAGCTCCCCACCAGGCCTCAGTCACAGTTCAGGCGTGCATCTGCTTGGACACATTTGCGCTAAGCATTACGTGTTGTAAAAACACAAATAAAATTATATTTTCAACATCCATTTCTGTGGAGAAATGCTCCCCCACCACCACCATTTTTGTGTATCTTTCTATTTTGTGTTCACCATGTTGCCCTGAAGCCTTGCTTTTGTTGCACCAAGAGAGACTTTGGTATTCCAGCATGAGTTTTCCATTGCCAAAGGAAGTACCAAAGGGAAGGGAGGCCCCTCCCCCCAATAAGAAATCCCCACAGTGGAGTGACTTCTTAATCCCCCACAGTTGGCCCTGACATGGCATTGTTGTCAACAAGGAAGGTGAGAAAACCTTCCACAGCCCGCCCTGCCTCCCACTCGTCCCTATGGCTAGAAAGATTGGAGCCAGGTGTTTGTGGCTCCCTGCTTGTAAAGTATTGTCACCAACATGCTGTCACAATTACAGTGTGATTTTATTTATTTATTTTTTAAAGATTTTATTTATTTGAGAGAGAATGAGCACATGAGAGGGGGGAGGGGCAGAGGGAGAAGCAGACTCCCTGCTGAGCAGGGAGCCAGATGCGGGACTCGATTCTGGGACTCCAGGATCATGACCTGAGCCGAAGGCAGTCGCTTAGCCAACTGAGCCACCCAGGCGCCCCTACAGTGTGATTTTAGTTGATGGTGCAGCCAGCAGAAATTCTCTCTAGTGCATATTAGAAGGAGTGAAAATTATGTTGAAAACTACACGGCATTGTGTCGCCCTTCCAGTAGCTACTCATGGTGTCATCCACGTTTGTGATTTTTATGCTATGGAAATCCACCTGATTCCTCAATCCGGAGTAAAATTTCCCTGGCAGGTGCCTGGTTTGGAATAAAATAGCACCGGACTCCCCAGCAAAGTCACAGTGTTATAAATGTGTTTACGTCTCTGTTGCAGAGAACTGGAACTCTGTGGAGCTCCCTCCTGCTTTCTTATACCAGTTGCTCTGTTGAGGTCAGTGGAAAATTCAGTTTAATCACATGCAATACTTGGTTACAGTAACTTCTAGAAAGCAGTACCTTTGACAGAAAGATCTCTGTTAGGAAAGGATTCACATTCTTTCTTTTCCTTTAATAATTTATAATTGAATAAAACAATATGAGCTCTTATTTGCACATGAGCAAAACATTTATACACTGGATCTCCTCTCATACTCAACTTATGATCATGAATAGTCAAAGAGAACTTTTCCGCGGATAACAAGGGGCAATTGTTAAGATTCTCCTGGCTGAGCCCACTTGATGTTTTGAAGGGCTCATACCGTGCAGTTCTTTGCTTTGCGATGAGGAGCATTCCTGGTCTACACTCTGGCCTTGACATTGCAGCCTCCTTATTAAATCATGTAGGTTAGGTGTTTTAAAGCACCGTGCTGCATCTTTTGAGATGAGGTGGCTGCTTCCAGGGAGGTAGTTTTCAAAGATTCTCCCTCAGACTACTGAAGAACGATTTTTGTAATAACTTCATGACAGCAGCTGGGATCCAGCAAAGCTCCAAAGGTTAACTCTGTTCTCGGTGGTTCACTGAAGTCCATGTGCTGCCTTGGGTTGCCTAAAACGATACGGTTGCATTTAGAAGCTATTAGCAACCTCCTCGGGAGGGTTTGTTCCAAGGCACACGTGCTGTTTGCTGACCACCTTCCTGGGTATCTGGAGTCAGAGTGATCCCCCACACCCCCCACCTCCACTGTTGTTTCTTTAGCGTTTGTTCCAGTGTGACCATACCTAAGGCCAGTTAGCACCCTACCAGTGATTAGCCCCCGGACTCCCACCCCTGATTCCAAGCCAGACCTGGGAGCAGAGGGAGACTCCCTGATGCCAACTAACTGTAAAATAGCCCTCGGACCCTGCTGGGCTAATGCTTTCAGACAGGGAGGGGGCAGTTCCTATGGGTGAAATTCCCAAGGCCCTTAGAGGCAGAGCCATGCTGGGATTGACTTCAGGTGGCTACGTGACTTCCCCAGGAACACACTACTACTAGTCCTGGTGTGGGATGGAGATGGGATTTCATCTCAAACTTGAATCCAAATCCAAGTTGAATACCCAGATTTAGTAGGTAGGCATCTGATAGAATTCTGTTGCAGAGACAGGCAGTTAGAATATTAGAGGAGATTTTCTTGAAACCCAATCCTTTATTTTAGAGACGAAAAACATACTAGCAAAACTTGAATGGGCTCAGAGAATTGGGAATAATAACGTATTGATGTTAACTGCCTGATTTTGATGGTTGTATTGCGGCTGTGGAGGAAAATGTCTTTATTTGTAGAAATACACACTGAGCGTTTAGGTTTGTTGGAACATTGTGTAGACAGGGGAGTGGCTCTCAGATGGCTCAGGGAAAATAAGATTTTTGCACCATTGTTGTAACTTTACGTTAAAATGAATGGACGGACGTGAGTGGTTTGGGGACCACCCCAAGGGTCTAAAGTTGGCTTGTAGCAGAGGAGATAT